GTGAATATGGAGTTATTGTCAAGTATTCTAGAAGATATATTTTTTTTATTTATCCAACGACAGTGGCACAAACAGTCTTTCCATAGTGCTTTCCTTGGACAATAATAATACACACAAGTGCAGTTTCTCTCAATTGTGTGCATGTTTTTTCCCCCTACATATCTTGAAACTGAATAGTGAGGCAGACAAAATGCTGCCTTCTGGGACACCCTGATCCTGACTATAATGATCAGACAGGGTGGAACCCACTCGGACTTGATATTTTCGGTCAGATAAAAACTGTAATACATTGAGGCAAACGACTACTCAAACCCAAATCATGTAAACCTTTTAAAATGCCAAGCTTCCTGGTATTATTATTAGCCTTCTCCAGATAACAAAAATGATACAACTTTTTGTTTTATTACTATAGCATTTTTAAAAAAGGATTGTAATCGTGCTAAATGATCAATAGTATTTCTATTTTTTTCCAGAAACAACATTGAATAATTGTGATAAGATTATTGGTTTCCAAATACCAAACTAATCTGTTATTTGCCATTCGTTCCATGGACACAGTTGGTTAAAGAGATAGGGCGGTGATTAGAGGGATCTGTAAGATCTCCGGCCAGGCTTTGGTATTGGCACTTCAGTGGCATTATGCCACGAAGGAAGAAAATTCCCTGAAGTCCTACTTGGTCAAATATATCTATAGGGTTACGAGACATGATTCATGCATATGCTACAATAGCTGGTAGTGGATCTTATCATCTCCTATTGCTGAATCATGAGCTTGTCCAAGGGTAGTTTGTAGCTTATGTTATGAAAACACTTCATTAAAGTCTTAACAATTATCAAAATTAAAATTTACTTTTTTCTTCTCCTGTTGTTTCTGAAACTCAGGGACATAATTTGATGATGAAAAATGTCTGGGTGGATATTATTCAAGTTAATTTGACTTCAGTTTTATCAGTCAAGAATGTTTTAAACCTTTGTCTTTTATATTTTGTATCATGTTTCACACCTTGGACATAGATATAAAGGAAGTTATTTTGGAAACAGCTAAAAAGCGAGTCGAACCTTGGCATTTGTAAACCAAGGTTTACGAATATTAAAACTTTGGGATTGTTTGGTCAGCAATGTCATTCAGTTAGTCCGAACTTCCCGGATCTGTATTAATCTTGAAAAGGTCAAGTTTTAAGTTGTCAATACATAGTATGTCTTACAAACACCAACTCGCCTTGGTAAAGATCCACCTTGATGAAGGTCGGATAATCAGTAGGGTTGATAGTTTTAAGAATGGTAGGGAAGTGATCACTCCAACATGGATCAACCATTCAAATTCATTATACAAGTTTGAGTCTGTGAGTGACAGATCGAGGGCAGATTGTGTTCCAGTGGCTGGATGTAAATAAGTGTTGGAATGAACCATACACAGGTTATTGTCAGAAAAATATCACAATGATTTTCCTTTATGATTTGTGTTTGCACTTCCCCATGGTGAAACAGTGCTTTGGGAGCAGTGCCTCCACTTTTTGAAGATCAGATTGTCGAAGATCAGAGGAATGAGCGATATACAAAGAGCTCAGCATAAAAACGATGTGCAGACGACGAACAGTACCAGTTTGACGAATTCTATTAAGAAGCACAGCGCTATATCTGATCTTCTGTCGCACCAAGGTAGAAGAACCTCCCGTTGCTTTATCTCCCGGATGAGACAAAGGAATAAATGGTCATTATATTGTCTTAAATTAGTCGTATCTGTTGTTTTAAGCTGGGTTTCTTGAAGACATAATGCTGACGGTTGAAAAGTTATTTCAAAGTCCTCTGTAATTATGTTGGACAACTGAATCATGGTGGCGTGAATGTGAGGAGGAGCTACTCCTCCGCCTGTCCTGTGAGGACAGAGTAACCCCCATGTCCAGTGGCCCAAAGCAGTTGTTGTCAGATGAACAATGACTCGTTGTTTGATACGTTTGAGATTCTCGGGCTGAATTCCAGAACTAGAGTGGCTGATGGCGGTAATAGGCTTAAAAATTTGAATTGTATCAACAACTTGTTCTGACTGACCCATGTCAAGTCAGTCTGACACGTAAAAGACGAGGTTGCAACAATGCGGGAGACTGCAGTTGAGTAGGAAATACTTGATGGGGTTGTGGTTTGATTTTTAAATATTTGTTTTCATCTAGGTAACATATGTTTCTTTCATATTTCAGTTGTCACCACAACGATGACATAATACCGAGTTATGACATGATTTGGAACCATGACCAAAATGTTGACACTTGTGGCATCGTAGCTGATTGGGGACTCTGATATTTAAATAACCTGATTTAATAATCTGTGGAAGGGATGTACGGTCAAGCGTCACGAAACATGTATTTGTGTTCCATGAAACGTTTAATTGTGGTAACAGCCTGGTGTTCCAACTCCAGACAACGAGCCCTGTCACGAACAATGCCTCGACAAGAGTTTAATGTTCTGTGTACAGACACAGCAACCTCAATTAAGAGATTGTTATCTCCGTGCACCATCCACCGGAACTGAACCACAATGGAGACGGGTGATATTCTTGATCTCACCGCAAATCCCAGAAACAGCCTTAGATAAATAAGGAAGAGAATTATCTGTTGGCTTCCCTTGTTACGTTTCCACCTTTGTTATCTTATCTTTTGTTGTTCTTAAGGTATATGTTCTCTGCCTCATAGCATTTATTCACTTGATTAACGAGTAAGCTTATACTCCGAAACGTTGTGCTCCTCATAATAAAGAAGTTAACATCCGTAAATTATCTTCCTTATGTGTATCACTTCACATTGCCTTCAAAGATTTGAGCCTTAGATATAGCAAAAGGCTTTAGTTTGATTGGTGGGTTATCTACAGCCCCAATGACTAGGATCTAGCCCAGGATTCTATATATTGAGAACTATTTCCTGTTGAGTTATCAATTTCCTCTAGACGTTTCTTTTGCCATTTCGAAATGAACCAGATTGTTGTTGTGACATAATGAAAGAAAATGATTCTGCACCCCTGCTCCCCACCCTACATCGAGTGTGAACAGGGTTATATTGTACCAGATACCCAAGATGAAACACCAGGGACACAGGGGTCGTATACTCTAGGGGATATGATACGAACAGCTGTATTTGTCTACCAACTCAATGCCCGACTGGCTCAGCCCATGACAAGAAATTTGAAGCATACATTAATCGGAGGTCAACAACACCAGTTTGGCCCATGAGCCAACACCTTCTTGCATTCGTTTCTATGCAATTTATTGCATCGATAATTTGTAGTTAGACACAGACCAAACAAAAACATATAGATAAATCACACGTGTGCATACACAATACCATTGACAGGGCTTGGCATGACCGACCACTATATATGATCGGGCCCATCCTACCACCAATCTGGGTGAAGTTATGGTTGAAGTGGTGTGATGGGCAGAAGGGACGCGGTTACCTGAGCTAGAAATAAAGGAAACCACAAATCTGTTTCAATTACAGATATCTTGATTAAGATTCAGAATGTATGACAAGACGGATGACTTAAACTTTAATATTCCTGCAGCTCCAGCCTTCGGTTTTTTCATTTCACAACTTTTGAGGTGACTCTTTCTCAGAAGTTTTTGTTGTTGTGTGTTTGGTATGTTGTTTAACGCCGCACTCATCAATATTGCAGCTATAAGACGGCGGTCTGTAAATAATCGAGACTGGACCAGACAATTCAGTGATTGACATCATGAGCATCGATCGACGCAATTGGAATGCGATGACATGCATCAGCCAAGCCAACGAGCCTGACCACCCGATCCCGTTAGTCGCCCTTTACGACAAGCATTGTCGCCTTTTATGGCAAGATTGGGTTGCTGAAGACCTATTCTACCCCGGATCTTCACGGGCGTTGATCAAGGTTTCATTCAAGGTCACAGTAAAGTTTTCATTTTTTTAAAGTAGACAGTTGAAAAATCTATTCGTGTTTTCTTTCAGGTGAGCAATAGACTTGCTTTTGTATGTGCTTGTGCCCCCGGTGGGTCAGGATGTGCTCACCTTCTCGCGAACACTTGGTGTCATCATCACTATTAATTTTGAAAGTGATTAATAAACATATGCTCATGATATAGTCGGAATGTTTACAATTGACTCTGTGTTTGGCAGAGATTTCTGTTTAATGTGGCAAGGGTTTTGTCACATTTTTTACACCACTGATGGCCGAGAAGCCCTTCATGATATCGATTCGCAAAGATGTGAACTTGAAACAAAACATGGCCCCATAATAACAAAGTAGAAAAATATTTCTATCATGTTGTTTTGTCGTAAAACATCGAATCATCCGTGGGCATCGCGAGTGTCATGGTGTGACTTTGCACGGAGTACTTTTTGACAAGAGGATCACTGCCAAAAACGTATTGCTGCTGAACAATCAAAACGTCCGGCGGAAACGACACAAAACTACTGTTTTAGCTTGACAATATTATCGACCAATGCGAGAGTGTTCACGCTCACTGCAATCAAGAGTAAAGATGTATGCCAAACGAACACAATCACCCGCCTAGAACAATGTTGAAATCGCTGTGGATCTTTTGAGAAATGCTAGCCAGGCAAATACGTTTGCAATCACAGAATTATTTTCAATGTTTTACTAACACAGCTGTTATTTATCACAAAACACATTTCCCTCCCTACAGGAGTTAGTATTTGTTGAACGGGAATGAAAACATAGGTCTTGGACGTTTCACACCAACGACGTGGCAGGAAGGCTTTGATAAAAAGACGTTGAATCGTGCTGGAATAAGTTCATGAATATTTACTAACTATGATGGTGAGTGACATATTGCTTGCTTTTCATATGCCCTACGTGTGGAGGTGTTACATGGCAACACGTCATGCCGTGTGTGCTATCATTCAATCCCAGGTCGGATCACTCCAATAAGCTCCGCCTCCCGCGAATGAATTAGAACTAACGCATTTGCAGCTTTAATCAATATGAAAACCCAGTATCATATTGTGTCAGAGTTGCAGTTGATCACAGACGTGCCTGCTGTTCCTAGTGTTGTTTCCTTGAACAAGATCTCAGCTTGCAAACTGTGATCATGTTCTTGAAGATCTCCGTTCTACTGCATCTTGGTCAATTGGTTCTGACTAATTCGCCGTGCATAAATGTACGTTTTCAAAGAATACAACAAAGTTTCATGGCGCCTCTTCGACAAACCAGAGCCAACAAGCCTATCGAATGTGGTATCCAATGCATGTCGGAACCTAACTGTGACGCATTTCTATTAACTAAAGCAAATGGAACATGTTCTCTGTTCCATGGCGAGAATTCATCGTCTGCAGGCTGCATTAAAGGACCTTTGTTCAAGAAGTCAAGTATGTAAAACAGAATATTTTTTATTGTTATTATGTTCTGTAGAATATGGACATGCTTGGGTGCATATTAACTGTTTATTTTGGTTGTAGTTTAAAACTGAATAGCATCAATCTTGGACACTTCTATTATTACTCTCATAACACTCCTTGTTATCATGACCGCCTCCGTGGTCTAGCGGTAGAGCGGAAGGTCCGGGGTTCGATCCCCGGTTGCGTCATACCAAAAGACGTTAAAAGATGGTACTTGTTGTTACCCTGCCTGGCGCTCGGCATTAAGGGGCTTAAACAAGGACTGGTCGGCTCGGAGTCAGTATACTGTGTTTGAGTGGGGTATTCATGTTAAACTGCGGCATGGTATCTCAGTGTGCTAGCACTATAAATCGGCATCATTCCGGACTAGTACAGGCATCCACACACACACACGTGCATGCATGTCGCTATATAAGTGCAATACTCTTGGACGAGGCGTTAAACCCCATTTCACCTCACCTCACCACCTTGTTATCATAGTCAAAATCAAGCTTTTTCATAACCAGTACGAGTCACATATAGACACCTGTCGACGGCCGACAACATAATCACATAACAACTAGAATAACAACAATTTTATAATAACGACTGGTACGAGATCATGAAAAAGTAATGACAATAGAAGATAAGAGTCCGACTGTTGTTAGATCACCATACAGACAAAGAAGAAAAAAGGGAATGTATTAAGAAGTGAGTGTTTGAATGAAGTCGTGGCGCATGCTCACATAAACTGACCATAAACTAATATACATTTGTATTTGAAAGAAAACACTTTTTATTTTCTGTGGGTGGGGATGGGGAGAAACAATAATCCAACCCCTGTTTTACTGAGAAAAAAACATATGTAGGTAAAACATAATGTGCTCTTTTCTTGCAGGCGGTGTGTTTGTTTGTTTAACGCCGCACTCAGTAATATGATGGTGGTATGTAAATCGAGTCTGGAACAGACAATCCAGTGATTGATATCATGAGCAATGATCTATACAATTGGGATAGCGATCAGCCAAGATATCGAATCTGGCACCCGATCTCGTTACGACAAGCGTAGTCGCCTTTTATGGGAAGCAACGGTTGCTGAAGACCTATTCTAACCAGATCTCTTCACGGGGCAGATGGTGTGTATGGGAATATCAAGTACTGTGACGTGACCAAGAACGTTAAAGATGGGCTGGCATTTGGAACAAGCTCCAAAATATCTATACCTTTCCCCTAATAGCAAGCGCTTCCAATAGCTTCTGACAGCCAAGGCTTGCTCCTGGCCTTCCTGTAGAGGGACTGTTCTCACTGACAGGAGAAGGGACGACAGGCGGCTGCCTCTTCAAAACCAGACGCCTCTGTCAGAGAGGACTCGTCAGCCTGCTCTTCTGTGAGAAGGAAAACTCCATATTCCCTCAGCCTTGTGGCTTTACCCATTCATGGAAAACGCGTAGGGAAATCTGGAGTCAGAATCTCTGAGGCAGTCTGGGATTGTCACTCATGACCCTTCTAGCAACTCTTGCAATGCTCCTGATAGGAAGCATTACTGGCTTTCCCTTGAATCTATCAGCGACGTGGAGGGGGGGGGGGGGGGGCTTCTGCATTTCAACAGCTGGCACCATTCTATCGGTGAACAGCCCAGCTTGATGGGCAAAGAACATGGCGTCAGGGGTTACATCTATCGTTGGGAGGAATCATCATATCTCACCAGGCTCAAGCCGGGCAGCTTCCCGCCAGTAAGATAATGTCCCACCACAGTCCGCCTCTTGTACGGGTGCGTGGCGCAAATTGTTCTGACCAGCCTGACCTATGGACTGTAAACGATACACCAGCCAAGACAAGGAAAGAAAGATAACCCCTGTTATCCACAATAAAACACTAAAGACTGCACGTGGACATTGCCATGCTGCAGGAAAAAGTCCTGACAGACTCTGACACTGTTAGAGGGACTTCACGTTTTGGCAAGGAAAGGTAGTTGTCTTTTCACATACGTCAGACATGTTAACCCATAAGAATGTACGTTCCGACCCACTGCTCCCTACGTGAGGCAAAGGACGAGTTCTAGGACAAACTCAAGACTGTATATTGTATTTACGTGTTGTTTGCGAAATACTGCAAATGCGCATGAGAGAGGCAACATTAACTATGTTAACTATGATGTCACAAGTGATGTGCAGTTCAAGTCCTAAAGGCCACGGTTATTTTTCAAATGTGTTGAAATATTCTTCAAGCGATGATGGTGTGGGAGTGAGTGAGTGAAAATGTTTTTACGCCGATTTTAGCAATATTCCAGCAATATCACGGCGGGGGACACCAGAAATGGGCTTCACATATTGTACCCATGTCGGGATTCGAACCCGGGTTTTCGGCGTGCAAGCGAACGCTTTAACCACTAGGCTACCCGACCGCCCCTGATGGTGTGGGAAAAGGACGTAATGGCAATGTGAAATGTTATGGGAAACCATGAAATTCTGTCATGTAGATGATCGGACCGAACATTGTCCGATTTCTTTTTTGGGAATATGCTGGGAAAGAAATGATAACATAAATTGTATGATGTACATATTGCATGTTCTGAAAATATTGTTATGGTGCACAGGAATTATTTCCAGCATATGCATGTTTTTCATACCGTATTCGACGTAATAAGCGCCCAGCTCTAATAAGCGCCCACGGCGATATTTGATAATAGAGTGGCCAGTGAACAATCCCAATTAGCACTTCTTCCAAATGATCAATGTACACAAGACTTATTTATTCGTGTATAATACGTGTTATATGCACCCATAATTATGGGCAATAAAATTCTGGAAAAAATGTCGTATGTAAACATTTAAGGCTGTCGGCATAAACCACGAAATTTATTATCCTTTAACTCTGGTTTAAAAAAAATAAAATATTCTAATAATAGCCCCCTATTTCTAATTTTGAGAAGCCACTGGGCGCTTATTACGTAAAGTACGGTATATGAATACCATTATCTTTGTTTATTTGGGTTGGGAAATATGTCAGGCATCCGAGGAGGGGGCAGGTGGGGGCATGTATCAGGCAACCATTGACACGAACTGTTTGTATTTGTTGTGGAAACCAGTGTGTATTACAAATATTTATCTGCAGATGTTCGACTTGTTCCGGGGCCACAAGCAGGTCGTCTTGAGATTAAGTACCAGTCAACTTGGGGAACAGTCTGTGACGACGGATTCACTGATGTAAATGCCAGAGTCGTCTGTAGAGAACTTGGATTGCCGTCGTAAGTATATTAGAACACCCAACACTGTAATTATCTATTAATGTTAACCTGTATAAAAAAACGGGTATATACCATCAGCACAAAAAAGCGCAAAAGTGTTTTATATGAATATTATATATATCAAATAAATAATCAACGGATGAACGAATACTCAAAATTGGCGAACATCATTGTCATTGTATTGTCATTAACCTATGTGCCACAGGACACACATGGATAGTAGGTTATCTGAGCTCAGTATCTTGTATGACTGACATTAGAGTCCAAAACTGACTGGCATCGTCGTCCCATGGAAATACTGTGGCATGCATTGCTTGTGGTTTCTTTGATTGTTGACCCGTGACAAAAGATTCCGGGGTAGAGGTCTTCAGCAACCCATGCTTGCCGTAAAGGGTGACTATGCTTGTCATAAAAGGCGACTAACGGGATCGGATGGTCAGACTCGCTGACTTGGTTGATGCATGTCATCGATCCCAATTGCGTGGATCGATGCTCATGATATGAATCACTGGATTGTCTGGTCCAGACTCGATTATTTACAGACCGCCGTCATATAGCTGGAATATTGCTGAGTGCGGCGTTAAACAACAAAACAACCAACCAAATCGTTGGTTGAAGCTGACGTGTTCGCAGTCGTTGATCCAGTGCATCTGATACATGTTCGATTGGGTATAAATCTGGAGATATGGAGGGCCATGGCCAGACCTGAATGTTGTGGTTCCTGCAAAAGGCTGTTGTCAATCTTGCCTCCGTGAGTGGTCGGGCATTGTCTTGTTGGAAAATGACGTTCACTTGTTACATGATTGGAAGGACGTGTGTCTGAATAATCCGTGTAACGTTGTGCCGTTGTATTCCCCAGAACTTGGTCCAAGTTTGTTCTACTAGTGTAGGAGTGCCCACATCATCAAGCTACCACCCCCAAATTCGTCCACTTCTGCATGCAGTTTTGTGCATAACGTTCCCCGCGACGCCTGTAATCCGCACGGTGAAGCATAAAACGTGACTCGTCATTAAACCAAACGTATCTCCATCGTAGTTATAACCATACTCTTATGACCTTGACACCATTGACATTGCAGTCGACGATGCAGGTCTAGCGCGAATACCTCCAGCATATTAACAGTTCCTCGTGAAGATTCCGGGGTAGAATAGGTCTTCAGCAACCCATGCTTGCCGTAAAAGGCGACTATGCTTGTCGTAAGAGGCGACTAACGGGATCGGGTGGTCAGGCTCGTTGACTTGGTTGATGCATGTCATCGATCCGTATGGCATGGATCGATGCTCATGATATTAATCACTGGATTGTCTGTTCCAGACTCTATTATTTACAGACCGCCGTCATATAGCTGGAATATTGCTGAGTGCGGCGTTAAACAACAAACCAACAACCAATCCTCGTTGTCTGAGCTCATGTCTGAGGTCGCCGTGGTGGTTCTTTCACTTTCAAGTGACGTAGGTGTATGAATCCCGTGCTCTAGAGGTGATACGTGGTCGACCGGATCTGGGAAGGTGCCATGTTGTCACGTGTTTCTGATAATGGTTTCACAGTCTTGTAATGTTCTTGGTGCAAAGTGGCAAAACCTGGCTACAGCTGTAGGTGATTCTCCTATTTGCAATCAGCCGATGGCGTTGTTGCGTTTGGCTTCCGTCAGTCGTAGCATGTTTTCTCTGTTCACTTGCTGTAAGATTGTGATGGCATGCAAATGAAATCCCATTTTTGTAATAGCCCAACAAGTGATGTTGCACGTGGATGTCAGGTTGGTGTGTTCCTGCGCCAGGCTCTCACGTGGTTGTGTTTTTTATTTTAAAAAATCCATCTTCTCACCAAATTTCTGCAGAACTTCCTTCTTTCCACATAAATCAATCCAAATCCATGTAGAAATGACCAATTCATTTTTGGAATCAATCTGTCATTTTTGCCTTTCTTTTTATGTTGTGTCTCGACAAAGGTTCAGGAAATACCTAGTAAACGACGCAGTTTCCAAAACTAACATAACACTGGTGATAAATGGTCTCTTGCTGTATCATATAAAGTTACACGTGTCCACCTCTGCAAGAAGGGAAGGACTCGGAACAAATATGGTTTAATGGGAAAGATAATTTATCCCAGAATGGTTGTTTTGAGGTGATGTGAGGTGAAATGGGGTTTAACGTCGCGTCCAATATTATTGCACTTATATAGCGACATGCATGTACGTGTGTGTGTTTGTGTGGCTTCTTGTACAAGTCCGGACTGATGCCGATGTATAGTGCTAGCTCACTGAGATATCATGCCGCAGTTTAACACGAATACCCCACTCAGACACTGTATACTGACTCCGAGCCGACCAGTCCTTGTTTAGCCCCTTAATGCCAAGCGCCAGACAGGGTAACAACAAGTACCATCTTTTAACGTCTTTTGGTGGACGCGGTCGGGGATCGAACCCCGGACCATCCGCTCTCCGGGAGGACGCTCTACCACTAGACCACGTGGTTGTTTTGAGAAACAGTTAGGAACATTGTTGTCATTCGGGGGGACGGAAAGCCCAGTCGTCTAAGGCACCGCAATTCACTATGCAGTGCAGGCCAGAAACCCTTGATTGTGGGTTCGAATCTAGGTTCGTCTAGATTTTATTTCTAGGTGTGGCAGCATACCCGGGCTCGTGGGTTTCACCTGCATCACTTCGGGCTTTCCTACCACATTAAACTGACAAGCCGTGATATAACTGGAATGCAGTTTAAAGCAGCGTTAAACAAAACTCACTTTTGTCATTCAACTACACACATAACGATTTATAAGATTTTACACATGTTTTTCATAAGAGTGGAAGGTTTGATTTTCCTATTACGATTAGTGGCAAAATTTAGGCATGCTGTGTGCTGATGTAACACAACTCATCGTTCATCGAAACACTGGTAACAGACCCATTGGCATATTTGCTATCAGTAACAGTAAACGTCAAGTTCGATATCATCGATCTGAGCCTAGCTAGTAACCTTTAATATAAGCACGGCAACACTGTTAACATTAAGCACTCTATTAAAACACGTTTTATATGTCACAGACTTCTTAGATGGATGATAGCTGTACCAAAATGACGGTAAACTTCAATAAACACTATATAGGATGTTGTAAACCTCAGCAGACAGTCATAAGAAAAAGGTCTTACCAGTTTTACAACATTCGTATACATATTTCCAGAGGGAACGCAGTGCACAGAGGCCAAGCTCACTATGGTCAAGGAAGTGACCCAATCCTACTGGATAACGTACAGTGTGTTGGGAACGAGTCATTTCTGAGCCAGTGTAGTCACCTACCATGGGGCACTCACAACTGTCGTCACCATGAAGATGTCGGCGTCCTCTGTCAGTAACTGTCAAGTGACATCACCAGCATACCAAAGAAACAGATGACGCCCTAACGGTAACTCGATAACCAATTGGCTGAAATGATATACAAGGAACGATACAGAATAGCAATACTGGTCAACGATGACAGAATGGATTAGTGCAGTTCCGGTGTTCTGTGTTTGAGTCTATTCGAAATCTGTATGCTGGGGATCTGACGTATATAAAAGATGTGAAAAGGCTCTTGTTGATTTGTTTCTCTGAACGCGAGATGTCTGTTAGGATCAGTGTTGAGTGGTAAAGCGGACAATCACTACGATTCCTGTAGTACCTTAAAGCTAAAAGTTCTATTTCATGAGTAAGCCACACTTAGCCACTACGAAACTAATGGATACTTGGCAGAGGATCCCCAAAGAAGGGGGCGGAGGGAGCCGAAACATTATATTTGTTTGTTCCCTTGTTGTTGAACGCCGCACGCAGCATGTTCCCAGCCTTATGACGAGCGTGGACCAGAGAATCCATTTCAGTGAAATTGTGAGCAAAGGTCCACGTCGACGGGGTTGGCACTCCATCAACCAGGTCACGGAACCTGACCACCTGATCGCCTTTTCCAACCAGTTTAGGTTGCTGGGGACATATTCTAACCCGGAATCCCCACGGGGAGGGTGCAAAGTAGATTCAATTGCCACATTACTCTTAATCATGATAGCGATCTAATAGACGACGCATAACCTTCCTCAGTCCTCCAACTTTCACCAACACTATAAATACACGATTAAATTCACGAATGATGCAAGAAAGCGAAACCTGCAACCACTATGGTTTGGTTCCATACTTGAATGCATAGTAATGTTTAAAAGTGGTTGTACAATTATTTTTTATACGACAGCAACACACTCCCTATAAAACGACTAAATACAAACAATAATGAGAAATTAACAATATGTAACAAATGGTGGCTAAAACAAGAAATGGTTAGTGAGTGAGTGAGTGAGTCTAACGCCACTTTGAACAAGTTTTTCAGTCATATAACGGTGTTGATGTTTTGTTATCCTGTTTCTTGTTTAACGCAGCACTCAGCAATTTTCCAGCTGTATGACGGCAGTCTGTAAATATTCGAGTCTGAACCAGACAATCCCGCGATTGACATCATGACCATCGATCCACGTAATTGAAATACGATGACATGCCTCAACCAAGTCAGCGAGCCTGACCGCCTGATCCCGTTAGTCGCCTCTTACGACAAGCATGGTCACCTTTGACGGCAAGCATGGGTTACTGAAGACCTATTCTACCCCGGATCTTCACCGATGGTGATGTATCAGATACAATAATAATTGGGTTTTGGACCTTAAGTTTCCAGCGTTTCGGTGACTGGTTCAGTCTTGTAACGTTTTAATGACGTTCATAATGTTTTGGTCAAATCCAATTTTCCAGTGTATACTTTCTGTTCCCCAACAGCTCAGATAAAACATGAATTTGTTAATAATACCTATATTATTGCAAACAACACATCTATATTAACACTATGCAACGAATATGTTTCATGACTAGCCATAATAAAAGAATTATTTAAAAAAAGTATAACCTCAAACCACCACAGCCTAATATTTATTCACATGAGAAATAAAAAACAAAACATATTACAAAGATTACGACATAAGTCGGCGAATTTGATAATACTGTGTACGGTTTCATTGTGGCAATCATTGCAAGGATCTGTTAACAATCGAGTCTGAACCAGACAATCAAGTGATAAAAATGCTGTATCATATACAAAATCCCGTATTAGATAAACACCTGCAGTCCATCAAACACACTCAGTTGGTGCAACAAACAGAAAACGGCAATAATGTTATTGGGCCTTGATGAATCTGCCCAATACAATAAAAAGTTATCCACCACCATAAGGAGTCGATAAATTACAGGTTATCCAGGATAAGTTGAACCTACTCACAAAACGCGTTTGACACAAGTAGGCGGTTCACATAATTTGGGCAAACATGTTTGGTTTGTTGCAGGTAGAGAGTGTGTACGCACGTTGTGCACGTGCAAGACATATCGATGAAACTGACTAAGCTCCCGTGACCACATGTGATGCTCATGAGCCCATTAAGAGGTCGGTGTGACAAGTCGATTCCAGAATTCTCTGAACGTCGTTTGATAGAAGTTAATTACAAATACCAGTAAATATGTCAAAGTTATGCATAGCCAAATCCTATATTCTCAGGTTCGAGCTATATTACGTTTACAGTAACAATCACATGGGATTAAATAAGGAGTAGGTACTTGAGTCAAATATCACTAGGAAAGTATCAACCTCCACAATCATTTGATGACAGACATGACACTATTGATTATTGCTTTCAGGAGTTAAAACAGTATTCCCTTCATTGTAACGATACTTCTCAATAATTGTTCTCTATGCTAATTTGCCGTCACCGTCTTGACAGTCATCGGGTACCTCACATCAGCACTTACTATTATGATCTACTGAACTTTCCACTGGAACTCGTTGTCAGCCGAGGCAGGACACGCACATATCCATCCTACTACTTGTCGTGGACCGCGAGCTTCCCCTTTCTTCACAATGGTACGCGCCATTGAGAGGACCCAATACAAAGTCATACGGGGTTAACTGACAGGCCACAACACAACTTATCCTGGCTTACCAGTAGTTCAAAACAATTGTCAATATTTCCAGCTCTACACAAGCACAATAAGTTGATAAATAAAGTCATTACACTTATAAATAGTCTACCTATAAACAATTATGATAAGTAATTAAATTCAAACAGTAATAAATATTCCACCACAAAACAAACATTAGTTGAAATACATTATCATGTGGATAAAAACCACATAAATATGGACGGTATGATGTATTGTTCCAAATGAATAATTGAAAGCTACAAAACCCTTTCTATATTCATAAGAAATCTCTGCCTAAAGAAGAGTCGATTGTATGATCCCGACTATACCATGAGCATGTGTTCATGAATCATCATGAAATTGTGATGATATTAGGTGTTCAGCATCAACGATACGATGGGGTAATTATTGTGAAAAGGAACACAATAGTGAGTGAGTGAGTATGGTTTTACGCCGCTTTTAGCAATATTCCAGCAATATCACGGCGGGGGACACCAGAAATGGGCTTCACACATTGTACCTATGTCGGGAATCGAACCCGGGTCTTCGGCGTGACGAGCGAACGCTTTAACCACTAGGCTACCCGACCGCCCCTAGGAACACAATAACTTTGATATACGTGCACTATTTATGTCATCCAAAATTGCATCCCCTCTATCACAACTAGAGGAGCCATGCGACAGAGTTCTGATACTGCTTAAAACAGTGCTGAACTCAGCAATACCTTATTAATCATAAAAGACACCAAGACCCACCGTTGCACTCATTTAAGTAGGTCAAAGGGAATCAGTGACATGTCTAATTTGTAATTTTTATCAGCGAAAGCGGTCAGTATGTCCGTCCGTCCGTCCACCTGTTTATCCTCCGTCCGTTTTCCGTTACCGGAGCAGAACTTCTAACCCCTTTAGCATTTCTTGATGAAACTTGCTATACAGGCCAATGTTGTTGTGAACTATTGCCTTTTGATCTTTTTGCACATTGGACAGCATTATTTGCATCTTCACTAAACTGAAGGTATCCAATGACAATGAACCAAAAGTGGGTACAGGTAGCTAAACTTTCCGAATAGCTCCAGACCGGGGAATATGTCATCTCATGTTGATTCTTATATTTATTACTGCTAGCCACAAGACGATTATTGTTAATTAATACCTTATATACAATAGGTTCGCAGGTTAAATAATATGCTTTTAAGTTCATTTTGTAAACATCACATCACGCAGTTGATTTTCTATTCTGAACGAATATGATAAGAGATCAAGACTATTTTGGGGGATTTTTTTGTTGTGTGGACGGAGCATACAATTTCATCAAAATATCCCCCAAAATATTCATGATCCCTGATTTATTTTGTTCAGTATAGATAACGTTGAGCAGTACACATGTCATCTACACGAAGACTCCATACACTAGGATGATGGACGTGTACGCGAGCAGTGTGCCACTGTGTCGGTTACCATGACCATTCGCCAACTGAGGGTCGCCTGCCTGAAATGCTTCTGCAACAGGCTCAGGATCCTCTAAGTCTCCAAATGGTGCAGCGGATTTTCGCAGGTGGCTAGTCGGATGCTTCTCTGAGATCTCATTTGGTGCAGCGGATTTTCGCAGGTGGCTAGTCGGATGGTCCTCTGAGATCTCAGTTGGTGCAGCGGATTTTCGCAGGTGACTAGTCGGATGGTCCCCTGAGATCTCAGTTGGTGCAGCGGATTTTTGCAGGTGGCCAGTCGGATGGTCCTCTGAGATCTCAGTTGGTGCAGCGGATTTTCGCAGGTGGCTAGTCGGATGGTCCTCTGATATCTCAGTTGGTGCAGCGGATTTTCGCAGGTGGCTAGTCGGATGGTCCCCTGAGGTCTCAGCAGCGGACTTTGGTAAAGGATCTGCAAAGGTGTTGCGAAAGTTATTGATTTCATAAAATTGTTAAGACAAGCTTTGTATTTCATGGCCTTGACCAGCAGAATATCAAGCTAACTGTATTTTCAAAATTAAATGAAAAATATACATAAAGACAAACCAACTGGTATTCTGAAGCATGGGATATACAGCTGGTGAAGAGTACGTACAGTCGATGATTAAGATGGCGCTTGTCTGAGCCTCCGTGTCCTCGGAACACAACGTAGGACGATCCTCAAAGCATGCGTGCACCTTGCAGGAGATGACAATCTGTAAGGGAAAGAAGTGAGGAAGTGGGTGAGTTTGGTTTAACGTCACTTTGGACAATATTTCAGTTATATCACAGAGTGTCAGCTAAGTATGAGAAGAAAACCAGGTCTGATTCAGGTCTCAGACGTTTACCACTTTAATGTCATCCACGAGCACAGAGTGACTAAACAAGACATATGATCAGGGCGAATATGGGATTCGAACCCTGCAAATATCCCAGCCTAGACTAGGTGCACCATCCTCGTTATAGGGTCCGTTGACACGCGGTTAGCTTTATCATAGAGCTTGATCACCCGATCACCATTATCATATGCAATTGTGATGAGCAAAATTTCTTGAGCATAAGTCCTACTAGTACAAGGCATCCCGACAGGGATAACGTTTGTGAGTCTACGAACATTCAATAAATCTGTAGATACCCTGCTCCAGCAAATACTTACTGGTGTGTATCATATGCTGTCATAGCATCATTTCTTTTGAATATGTTTCTTTTATTGTTCAAGTTCATGTCACATGTAGATTGTTACTCTGCGATCATTGAGGCACTGTTCAGTAATTCAAGATTGTGATTTTGTTTCATTACCTCAGCTAATTTGTAATCTGATATAATCTAAGTCTTTATATTAGTAGTGGCCACCTCCTCTCCATAGGATACGTCTAATTGGTAACTACGCTGTAATTTTTTTTTTATCCTTGTCCGATAATTTAACGCGTTTTGGTGCTTTCACTGGATTGGAATTATTTCAGATTATGCGAGCAAAATTATACAATATTCAAATATCAAGTATTCAATGTCTGAATGAGTTTGGCTTGGACGATATTACCAAAATATCAAAAAAGAATATGTGGTTGATCTCTTTAAGTCTCAAATGGTACCAGTTAGCTAGTTTACTGTCTTAACCAAAGTTAGTTTCTTCCTGAGAATATCCCCAGTGTAAAGACAAATGCGATCTCAGAAATGAGTGAGATCTACTTGTGGAATGGAACTCGAGACTATGGCGTGCTTAACGAACACTTGTACTGCGAGGAACTCGATTGCGCCTCGGAAAAAAACAGTGCTACTGATTCCAAAGGTTTGTTGTTTGCGACAACTATCACGGACATGAGAACTTAACAACAGAGAGCACATCAGCAATCACCATTTCTGGATTAGGTTTCATATGATTTATTTGGTACATTGTTGCCAATAAAAAATTACATATTAGTTGTAAACGGAATATTTTTTTGTGGCAACGATCGTCTCAAGTTTCTTTTGTGTCTGTTACTAAGTTTCAAGCGTATAGAAATATCACAATATTGATTTTTAACTGTGAATGAGCATGAACAGAACACCGGAAACTATCATAAAAAGCTATTTGCACATTATTCTACTACTGTAATGTCAATTTCATATTACAATGCAGCATGAATTAATCATATAGAGTTAATGAATGATACTTCACATAAATGACACCATCGTTACGTTTTACCATGCCGGGTAGCCAAGTGGTTAAAGCGTTCCCTCGTCAAGCCGAAGACCCGGGTTCGATTCCCGACATAGGTACAATGTGTGAAGCCCATTTCTGGTGTCCCCCGCCGTGATATTGCTGGAATATTGCTAAAACCAAACGGCGTAAAAGCATACTCACTCACTCACTGAATATTATACTTGACAATTGATATGGTGTTTAATTCCACCTTTAATACTACGTTGCAGTTGGTTATTTTGGTTATGTGGGCCACGGTTTTCATGGGGTTACACACAGGTGCATACTAGGCATGAAACTTTAGCGTAAGCATGTAAGTTTCGTGTAGACTGGGGGGCACGGGTGGCCCAGTCGTCTAAGGCGCCGCGGTTTGCTGTGCAGAGTTGCGTCCCTTCGGCACGCCAGAAACCTATGACTGTGGGTTCTAATCCCGGTTCGCCCCGATTATATTTCTAGGTTTGTCAGCACCATACCCGTGCTCGTGGGTTTCACCGAAGTGGTAAACATCTGAGACATGCATCTCGTTTGTTGCAGGTAGAGAGTGTGAACGCACGTTGTGCACGTGCAAGACATATCGATGAAACTGACTAAGCTCCCGTGAGCACACGTGATCCTCGTGAGCCCATTAAGAAGTCGGTGTGACAAGTCGATTCCAGAATTCTCTGAACGTCGTTTGATAGAAGTTAATTTCAAACAAATACAAGTTAATATGTCAAAGTTATGCATGGCCAAATCCTACATTCTCAGGTTCGAGCGGGGCACGGGTGGCCCAGTCGTCTGAGGCGCCGCGATTCGCTGTGCAGAGTTGCGTCCCTTGGGCATGCCAGAAACCTATGATTGTGGGTTCGAATCCCGGTTCACCCCGATTATAGTTCTAGGTTTGTCAGCACCATACCCGTGCTCGTGGGTTTCACCGAAGTGGTAAACGTCTGAGACCTGCATCACTTCGGGCTTTCCTCCCACATTAAGCTGACACGCCGTCACATACAAACGTCATACCTCAAAAGGCATTCAAATGAACAGCTAGCGTGTTTATGTGCGTAAAAACATGCTTGATAGTGTAGTTGTTGGAGTTTACGCCGCACCCAGCAATATTCAAGCAGTATCCTGTGATTGATATCATGAGCATCGATCCACGCAATTGGAGCCACCCGATCCAGTTAGTCGCCTCTTACGGCAACCATCGTCGCCTTTTACGGCAAGCATGTGTTGCTGAAGACCTATTCTATCCCTGACCTTCACGGTTTTTTTTGTGTAGCATACATGAACATGAATAAAAAACAATTAAGCTGATGATAGAGTTCACAACGAACACAATGGGTACGATGTCTTAATGTATTGAGATGTCGTATTAAGTGCCGGAAAATGATCTCAATAATCCGTCTCCAGAGCCCGCGATAAGCTACGTATTTGCGTTAAATAAGCCTCAGTTGAAAATCACCATAACTCATTATATTTTGAGTGAAAAATTAGGTAACTCAAGAGTTGAACAACACTGTGCGTAATCACCTAATGTACCTTTTCCATTTGTACACAAATGTTTGTACAGCTCTTTTCTTACTGACTGAATACAGCCATCGTGCAAACAAAACTCTACAGCAGTGCATACTGCGCGTATTTGCAAAATCTCGGTGATTGTAACTCAGACATGTAGCAGTGTTTTGAGTGAGTGAGTGAGTTAATATTTAACGTCACATCGGCAGTATTTCAGCCATATCGTGACGAGAACTGACATAAAATACAAATATTTGAATGGAATACATATCTGTCATCGAAGGACAGTAGAAATAACTAGAGTATCACAGATTTGATTTTAAAACTAGTTGAGAACATTAAAAAGAATACATTTTCGATCAACAATACAATATAAAAATGGGCTATACATCACCAGCAACCAAAGTTATGCCACCTTACTGGGGACCGTGGGGACTTACAATACTTTTGCTACCTGCACGACTCCCCAGCAGGATTTACACCATCCCTTCAGCCGCTGGTGATTATATGCAATTTAGCCAACACTTAAAATAAACAAATATTCTACGTCTAAAACTTTGGCAAGAATAAATGTACTTCGAATGATGTGGTCTTACATATCATCTCATGGGGACAATAATTTTACGTTACTTCAACCCCCTTCAAGGATACAGCCACTAACAATCTCAGTCATCAAATTTATTTTACCAATTATAAAAACTTTATTATATACAAAACATATCAATAAAAATTTATGTAACAATTCAATTTCTTTTAAAAAGGCAATAATTAAACGAGCATTGATACTAAAAAGATCCTTTAAGGATGAAACTTTGAAATATTTATCCCTTGTGATGGAAAAATCAACACAATCAAGCAGGACATGTTTGACGGTGATTCTCTCATCACAAGGGATGCAAAATGGAGGATCTTCACCATTTAAAATATATTCGTGGGTATACCTACTATGGCCAATACGACATCGTCGCAGAATGACCTCTTCAAATCTGGACTGACAACCCAAGTAGGTGTAAATGATGTTTGGTGTAATTTCATGTAATTTATTGATACCTACTTGGGTGTCCCACTTCTTTTGCATTAGATCTCGGATGTAAGATCTAATCAAGGGTTTAAGATCACTGTAGGGGATTAGAAGTGGTGTCACAGATTTGTTGAGTGCTGCTTTTGCAGCAGCATCAGCCATTATGTTACCAGCGATTCCAACATGGCTGGGTAACCAACAGAAAGCGATGTCGTATTGGCCAGTAGCGAGAACATTATACAATTCGACAATTTCCAGTAAAAGTGGATGTGTACTGGACATGTTGTGAATAGCCTGAAGACACGAAAGAGAGTCTGAAAATATTATGAACTGCTTATGCTTAGGTTGATTTTGAATGTATTTAAGAGCTGTTAAGATGGCGTGTGATTCTGCCGTGAAAATTGAACTGTCATGTGGCAACCTGAACGATATTGTTCTGGATCCAATGACAGTAGTGCTAGCAACTAGCAGTGTTTTGAGGTTTTGTGACAAGTGACTAACTTGGAGAGCACACGAACACATGACAATTAGAAGTTGAAGCATAAAACAGCATAGGCGTATATTTATGTTCCAAAACGTCCACTCATCTGGACCGCCTCCGTGGTCTAGTGGTAGAGCGTCCGCCCGGAGAGCGGAAGGTCCGGGGCTCGATCCCTGGCCGCGTCATACCAAAAGACGTTAAAAGATGGTACTTGTTGTCACCCTGTCTGGCGCTCGGCATTAAGGGGCTAACACAAGGACTGGTCGGCTCGGATTCAGTATACTGTGTCTGAGTAGGGTATTCATGTTAAACTGCGGCATGGTATCTCAGTGAGCTAGCACTATAAATCGGCATCAGTCCGGACTAGTACAAGCAGCCTCACACATACATACACGTGCATGCACGTCGCTATATAAGTGCAATAATCTAGGACGCGACGTTAAACCCCATTTCACCTCACCTCCACTCATCGGTTTAGCAAAACCCAGTTCATGCAGGTAGCAAAGGTACTGTAAGTCCCCATGGTCCCCAGCATGGTGACCTCACGTTAGTTGCTGGTGATATTTTACCCAATTTTATCTGTTGTAATGTCATGAATAGTCATATTTTATGGTTATATACTAGTTTAAAACAAATATCTGTGATAATATAGTTGTTTTACTGTCCTTCGTCGACAGGATTTTATACAGTTTACATATATATTGTTAAAGTCAAATTTTGTATCGTTACGATATGGCTGAAATATTGCCGTTTGTTGTGACGTTAAATATTAACTCACTCTCTAGAAAACCCAGTAGATTGGAAGAGAGTAATGATACACTGAAGACCCCAACAAACTATCAGTACCCAATGTGAATGTTAAAACGTAAAAGAATGAGTAAAAGCTCTGTATCTAGAGCCCTGGTCTCTCACACTCAAATGCCTAAAGAGTGAGTGCGTGAGGTGGGTTTAACGCCGCTTTTAACAATATTCCAGTTATATCATGGCGTGTCAGCTTAATGTGGGAGAAATCCCGAAGTGATGCAGGTCTCAGACGTTTACCACTTCGGTGAAACCAACGAGCACGGGTATGGTGCTGACAAACCTAGATACATAATCGGGGTGAACCGGGATTTGAACCCACAATCATAGGTTTCTTGCGTGCCGAAGGGACGCAACTCTGCACAACGAATTGCGGCGCTTTAGACGATTTGGCCACCCGTGCCCCCAAATATCTAAAGAACTGGCAACCGGGTGAAGAAAATTGATTCAACTGATGCATAATCAGCTTGCATAATAGTGTTTTGCTTAGCGAGACCCTTAACGTCATGAGTGAGTGAGTTTGGTTTTAGCAATATTCCAGCAATATCACGACGGGGAACACCATAAAATGGGCTTCACACATTTAACCCATGTCGGGAATCAAACCCGGGTCTTCCATGTCGGGAATCGAACGCGGGTCTTCGGCGTGATGAGCGAACGCTTTGACCACTAGGCTACCCGACCGTCCCCTTAACGTCATGAGGTTAATGAGGTCATATTAACCTTGATGGCAGAGGTATCAGCATATGTGAAAATAAAGCAGTGTGATCATCATGTTTTAGACAATAGTCCATCATCCAAGATTTACGGTTTCCCCCACCGTGATATTGATGGAATATTACTAAAAGCGGCTGAAAACCATACTCACTCGCTCACTACAAATGTTTCCTCAGTCAAGGAGATTTTCATATTTCAAACCCTTGAAAAATAGTCACTAGTTTTAGAAGAGCTTGTGTATTGGGTATGAAGGTTAGATAGGTCAGACAGATCACGTTTATTAAGATGTTTCAAACAAATTCTTACGAATGTAAACTGATGTTCCAGTGGGGTCTTGAATTCCAGCGCTATGCGATCCCTGTTTCTCGTCACGGTCATCGTGTTCTCGCTGGGAAGGCTGAGAAATAGAAGTCAAGACACGCATGTATGCATTATACTTTCATATTGACAACTGCAGCTTAATCACGGGTCAATTACAAACCCACGTTGTCCCACATTCACAAATGTAGCTTTATCACAGGGCAATTACAGATCCATGCTGACCCACAATGACAACTGTAGCATCATCAGGACAATTACAGGTCCATGGTGACCTACACTGAGAATTGTAGCTTTATCAGGACAAATACAGACCCACGTTGGCCCACAATCACAAATGTAGCTTTATCACAGGACAATTACATATCCATGGTGACCCACACTGACAACCGTCGCCTTGTCAGGACAATTACAGATCCATGCTGACCCACACTGACAACTGTAGCCTTGTCAGGACAATTACATATCCATGCTGACCCACACTGACAACCGTCGCCTTGTCAGGACAATTACATACTGGAGCCTTATCAGGAAACGTACAGACCCATGTTTACCCACACTGACAACTGTAGTATTATCAGGACCACTACAGATGCATTGCGACCCACACTGACAACTGTAGCCTTGTCATGACAATTACAGATCCATGGTGACCCACACTGACAACTGTAGCCTTGCCAGGACAATTACAGATCCATGGTTACCCATACTGACAACTGTAGCCTTATCAGGACAATTACAGATCCATGCTGACCCACACTGACAACCGTCGTCTTGTCAGGACAATTACAAATCCATGCTGACCCACACTGACAACTGTAGCCTTATCAGGACACTTACAGATCCATGGTGACCCACACTGACAACTGTTCCATCATCAGGACCACTACAGATCCATTGCGACCCACACTGACTAGAGCCTTATCAGGACACTTACAGATCCATGCTGACCCACACTGACAACTGTAGCCTTATCAGGACACTTACAGATCCATGGTTACCCACACGGACAACTGTAACATCATCAGGGCCACTACAGATCCATTGCGACCCACACTGACAACTGTAGTCTTGCCAGGACAATTACAGATCCATTGCGACCCACACTGACAACTGTAGTCTTGCCAGGACAATTACAGATCCATTGCGACCCACACTGACAACTGTAGTCTTGCCAGGACAATTACAGATCCATGGTGACCCACACTGACAACTGTAGTCTTGCCAGGACAATTACAGATCCATGGTGACCCACACTGACTACTGTAGCTTTGACAAGACAATTACAGATCCATGGTGACCCACTCTGACAACTGGAGCCTTATCAGGACACTTACAGATCAACGGTTACCCACTCTGACAACTGTAGCATTATCAGGACCACTACAGATCCACGGTAGCCTATGCTTACCCCATGATCATTTATTTGTTACAGTCCAAGTTTTACAGAAGACTCTTCAAACCTACCCATTTCTTAGAAGCTCTACAAAAGGTTTTCCCTTGTTCCAAGGATGCATCCCGCATGTGGTGATATGAATACTCTGTTCGAACTCCGACGTGATAGGTTCTGTTTCCAAGGTCATGTGTACCGTCTGATTCCGGTGAAGGTCAGGGCGGGGTCCGAGGTCTGAGGTCAGATCAGATGTTTTCCAAAGTATTGCATGCACAACTGGTTTGTTTGGGGAACCTTTGGGCCCTTCGGGTGTATCTGGTGCCTCTGCAAGTGATGGTGTTGGTGTCAGATAAGAAGGTGGTATTGCCGTTGCTGCCCCCATCTGGCCTCTGCTCAGCTTCGTCTTCTCTTGACCTGGATGCTTGTGCTTCTTCCGGAAAGCTGGTACCCCACGTAGTACGGGATCTTGAAGGGCATCAATGTTAAATTCATAGCACACGTTAAGCATTACATAAAGTCTTAATGTACTGTCGGAAATGCTAAAAAAAATGCTTTTCTATCTTCATTTAATAAACGCAAACTATAGAACTAAGAAAATAACACATATCAAAAGAACTCAAATCTACATAATCTAGTCTATTTTAACTGAAACTGTGATAAGCCAAAAAATATTACCTTTGCAGGTAAAACGATGATATTCCTGTGTTCTTGTATGTATGAAACTGCCTATACCCTAAGGTAATTACTTAACACCTGTCCCGACGTGTTGACCTCACCCTGGCCCCCGCATTCTGACAGGTTTGGTTGTTTCCAGTTTAACGCTGCATCCATATGATGGCGGTCAGTAAATCATCGAGCCTCGGTGATACAATCCAGTGATAGACATCATGAACATCGATCTACGCAAATGGGATACGATAAAGAGTCTAACCACCAAATCCCGTTAGTCGTCTCTTACGGCAAGCATGGATGCTGAAGACCTATTCTATCCCGGATCTTCACGGGTCCCTGTGTTGAAATGCTTTGTTTACAGATAGAAATATCTCTATCAAAAACAGGGAATCAATTACTTAAACATAACTAGTGACATCGACATTTTTTTAAAGTAGTGTCGGAAATGCAAGAAAAATGATTATTTTCCGTTAAAACAAGATAGAATGTTTCACAGACTGTTGCTATTGAAATATCGAGTAATTACCGATCGACCTACCTGTGGTTTGGAGTATTAAAACGCAAAATACAAATTCTCCCTACTATACACATTGACCTTTTCACACATGGCTTCCTGCACGCAAACACGATATGGTCCTAATTAAAATAAAATCTTAAAATAAAATACTTGAATTAAATTTGTTTAATTTACACACAGCTGAGATTTTATTTCACACCATCTGAATTAATGAATACTCGTTTTCTGTTTGAGGTATTTAATCGAATTTAAAAGCGCATTAAAATATCAAATTTTTAACATTAGAAGAATGCCGGGAGGCGCGATCGCTCAGTAATGTGTTGAAGCATGGCAGGACTACCGCAGGACTGTGTGAAAAGGTCAATGTGTATAGTAGGGAGAATTTGTATTTTTTAATACTCCAAACCACAGGTAGGTAGATCGGTAATTACTCGATATTTCAATAGCAACAGTCTGTGAAACATTCTTTCTTGTTCTGACGGACATGAAGCATTTTTCTTGCATTTCCACACTACTTTAGAAAAATGTCGATGTCACTAGTTATGTTTAAGTGTATGTAATTGATTCCCTGTTTTTGACAGAGATATCTCCACGGTATACAAATCGTTTCATTCAACACAGGGACCCGTGAAGATCCGGGGTAGAATAGGTCTTCAGCAACCCATGCTTGCCTTAAAAGGCGACTATGTCCTCGATCGATGTTTATGATATCAATCACTGGATTGTCTGGTCCTGACTCGATTATGTACAGACGTCGGTCATATAGCTGGAATATTGTTGAGTGCGGCAAAACAACAAACCAACCAACCAACCAACCATTCAACACAGGCATATCGTGTCATACATACCTTGAAATAAGTCAAAGAGAAGAGGTGTATAGCGTATGATGAATGGAATAAATGTTTTAGCAAGAATATGACACAAAATTCGTCTCTACGGAAAATACGTGACATCAAAACACCCATCTTCACCCTTCCCTGCTCTGCATCCATCTCCCCTCCCATCATGGTCGCGATAACCACTCCCCACCTGTGCCCCTCCCATCATGGTCGCGATAACCACTCCCCATCTCTGCCCCTCCCATCATGGTCGTGATAACCACTCCCCATCTCTGCCCCTCCCATCATGGTCGTGATAACCACTCCCCACCTCTGCCCCTCCCATCATGGTCGTGATAACCACTCCCCATCTCTGCCCCTCCCATCATGGTCGTGATAACCACTCCCCACCTCTGCCCCTCCCATCCTGCGACCCCACAGCTCCAGCTTCACCGCCTCTACGCAGACGCATCCACACTCCCCGTAAAGCCCTATGCCAGACCACACCGTTGTCATTATTCATATGACCGCCTCCGTGGTCTGATGGTAGAGCGACCGCCTGAAGAGCGGAAGGTCCGGGGTTCGATCCCCGACCGCGTCATACCAAAAGACGTTAAAAGATGGTTCTTGTTGTTACCATGTCTGGCGCTCGGCATTAAGGGGCTAAAACAAGGACTGGTCGGCTCGGATTCAGTATACTGTGTCTGAGTGGGGTATTCATGTTAAACTGCGGCATGGTATCTCAGTGAGCTAGCACTATAAATCAGCATCAGTCCGGACTGGTACAAGCAGCCACATACATACACGTGCATGCACGTCGCTATATAGGAGCAATAATCTTGGACGCGACGTTAAACCCCATTTCACCTCACCATTATTCATATCTACTCACAGTTGTCAACGCTGTCTACTGGGTTTATGATAACAGTGCTGCTGACAGTGTTGTCATCGGTGTCCCTCTTTCTGCGATAGTGATATCGGCTCTGGCAAGTCGTACTGCTTTCGTTCCATTCACAAGCAATGGCCTTGCAGTGGACTCTTATCTACAACAGACGCAGGAATATCACTGTAGTGGACAACTATCTGGACACGTCAAGCAACGTCATTGTAGTGGACAACTGTCTAAACATGCCAAGCAACGTCACTGTAATGGACAAGTGTCTGAACACGTCAACCAACATCACTGTAGTGCAAAAGTGTCTGAACATGTCAAGCGACGTCACTGTAGTGGACAAGTGTCTGAACACGTCAAGCAACGTCACTGTAGTGGACAAGGGTCGGAACATGTCAAGCAACGTCACTGTAGTGGACAACTGTCTGAACACGTCAAGCAACGTCAATGTAGTGGACAAGTGTCTGAACATGTCAAGCGACGTCACTGTAGTGGACAAGTGTCTGAACATGTCAAGCGACGTCACTGTAGTGGACAAGTGTCTGAACATGTCAAGCGACGTCACAGTAGTGGACAACAGTCAGAACACGTCAAGCAACGTCACTGTAGAGGACAAGTGTCTGAACACGTCAAGCAACGTCACTCTAGTGGACAAGTGTCTGAACATGTCGAGCGACGTCACTGTAGTGGACAAGTGTCTGAACATGTCAAGCGACGTCACTGTAGTGGACAAGTGTCTGAACATGTCAAGTGACGTCACTGTAGTGGTCAAGTGTCTGAACATGTCAAGCAACGTCACTGTAGTGGACAACTGTCTGAACACGTCAAGCAACGTCACTGTAGTGGACAACTGTCTAAACATGCCAAGCAACGTCACTGTAGTGGACAAGTGTCTGAACATGTCAAGCGACGTCACTGTAGTGGACAAGTGTCTGAACATGTCAAGCGACGCCACTCTAGTGGACAGGTGTCTGAACATGTCAAGTGACATCACTGTAGTGGACAGATGTCTGAACATGTCAAGCAACGTCTCTGTAGTGGACAAGTGTCTGAACATTTCAAGCAACGTCACTGTAGTGGACAAGTGTCTGATAATGTCAAGCGACGTCTCTGTAGTGGACAAGTGTCTGAACATGTCAAGCAACGTCTCTGTAGTGGACAAGTGTCTGAACATGTCAAGCAACGCCAGTGTAGTGGACAAGTGTCTGAACATGTCAAGCAACGTCACTGTAGTGGACAGATGTCTTGACATGTCAAGCAACGTCACTGTAGTGGACAACTGTCTAAACATGCCAAGCAACGTCACTGTAATGGACAAGTGTCTGAACACGTCAACCAACATCACTGTAGTGCACAAGTGTCTGAACATGTCAAGCGACGTCACTGTAGTGGACAAGTGTCTGAACACGTCAAGCAACGTCACTGTAGTGGACAAGGGTCGGAACATGTCAAGCAACGTCACTGTAGTGGACAACTGTCTGAACACGTCAAGCAACGTCAATGTAGTGGACAAGTGTCTGAACATGTCAAGCGACGTCACTGTAGTGGACAAGTGTCTGAACATGTCAAGCGACGTCACTGTAGTGGACAAGTGTCTGAACATGTCAAGCGACGTTACTGTAGTGGACAACAGTCAGAACACGTCAAGCAACGTCACTGTAGAGGACAAGTGTCTGAACACGTCAAGCAACGTCACTCTAGTGGACAAGTGTCTGAACATGTCGAGCGACGTCACTGTAGTGGACAAGTGTCTGAACATGTCAAGCGACGTCACTGTAGTGGACAAGTGTCTGAACATGTCAAGTGACGTCACTGTAGTGGACAAGTGTCTGAACATGTCAAGCAACGTCACTGTAGTGGACAACTGTCTGAACACGTCAAGCAACGTCACTGTAGTGGACAACTGTCTAAACATGCCAAGCAACGTCACTGTAGTGGACAAGTGTCTGAACATGTCAAGCGACGTCACTGTAGTGGACAAGTGTCTGAACATGTCAAGCGACGCCACTCTAGTGGACAGGTGTCTGAACATGTCAAGCAACGTCTCTGTAGAGGACAAGTGTCTGAACACGTCAAGCAACGTCACTGTAGTGGACAAGTGTCTGAACATGTCAAGCGACGTCTCTGTAGTGGACAAGTGTCTGAACATGTCAAGCAACGTCTCTGTAGTGGACAAGTGTCTGAACATGTCAAGCAACGTCACTGTAGTGGACAAGTGTCTGAACATGTCAAGCAACGCCAGTGTAGTGGACAAGTGTCTGAACATGTCAAGCAACGTCACTGTAGTGGACAGATGTCTTGACATGTCAAGCAACGTCACTGTAGTGGACAGATGTATGGACATGTCAAGCAACGTCACTGTAGTGGACAGATGTCTTGACATGTCAAGCAACGTCCCTGTAGTGGACAGATGTCTTGACATATCAAGCAACGTCACTGCAGTGGACAGATTTCAAGACATGTCAAGCAACGTCACTGTAGTGGACAAGTGTCTGAACATGTCAAGTGACGTCACTGTAGTGGACAAGTGTCTGAACATGTCAAGCAACGTCACTGTAGTGGACAACTGTCTGAACACGTCAAGCAACGTCACTGTAGTGGACAACTGTCTAAACATGCCAAGCAACGTCACTGTAGTGGACAAGTGTCTGAACATGTCAAGCGACGTCACTGTAGTGGACAAGTGTCTGATAATGTCAAGCGACGTCTCTGTAGTGGACAAGTGTCTGAACATGTCAAGCAACGTCTCTGTAGTGGACAAGTGTCTGAACATGTCAAGCAACGTCACTGTAGTGGACAAGTGTCTGAACATGTCAAGCAACGCCAGTGTAGTGGACAAGTGTCTGAACATGTCAAGCAACGTCACTGTAGTGGACAGATGTCTTGACATGTCAAGCAACGTCACTGTAGTGGACAGATGTATGGACATGTCAAGCAACGTCACTGTAGTGGACAGATGTCTTGACATGTCAAGCAACGTCCCTGTAGTGGACAGATGTCTTGACATGTCAAGCAACGTCACTGCAGTGGACAGATTTCAAGACATGTCAAGCAACGTCACTGTAGTGGACAGACGTCTTGACATGTCAAGCAACATCACTGTAGTGGACAGATGTCTTGACATGTCAAGCAACGTCACTGTAGTGGCCAGATGTCTGGACATGTCAAGCAACGTCACTGTAGTGGAGAGATGTATGAACATGTCAAGCAACGTCACAGTAGTGGACAGATGTCTGAACACGTCAAGCAACGTCACTGTAGTGGACAGATGTCTGAACATGTCAAGCAACGTCACTGTAGTGGACAGATGTCTGAACATGTCAAACAAGGTCACTGTAATGGACAGATGTCTGAACACGTCAAGCAACGTCACTGTAGTGGACAGATGTTTTGACATGTCAAGCAACGTCAACGTAGTGGACAGATGTCTGAACACGTCAAGCAACGTCACAGTAGTGGACAGATGTCTGAACACGTCAAGCAACGTCACTGTAGTTGACAGATGTCTGAACATGTCAAGCAACGTCACAGTAGTGGACAGATGTCTGAACACGTCAAGCAACGTCACTGTAGTGGACAGATGTCTGAACACGTCAAGCAACGTCACTGTAGTTGACAGATGTCTGAACATGTCAAACAAGGTCACTGTAATGGACAGTTGTCAGAACATGTCAAGCAACGTCACTGTAGTGGACAGATGTTTTGACATGTCAAGCAACGTCACAGCAGTGATCAGATGTCTGGACATGTCTAACAACATCAATGTATTGGACTGAACATGTCAGACAACATAACTGTAGGGGGCAATTGTCTGAGCATGTCAAACAAGGTCACCGTAGTGGACAATTGTCAGAACATTTCAAACAAGGTCGCCGTATTGGACAACAGTCTGAACATGTCAAACAAGGTCACCGTAGTGGACAATTGTCAGAACATTTCAAACAAGGTCGCCGTATTGGACAACAGTCTGAACATGTCAAACAAGGTCACCGTAGTGGACAATTGTCAGAACATTTCAAACAATGTCACCGTAGTGGACAGATGTCTAAAAATGTCAAACAACATAAACTCAGTAGACCATGGCCATCATCAACTTGTACTATAATTCTGAATGAGTTAAGAATGTCACACTTATGTTTTCAGACATAAAACCACTTTGTTTATCATTGTAGACACATGAAGTTTGCATATGTTGGTTCATTGTCATATGTGAAAATAAGTTTCCATGGAAATTACAATGAACTAGTCCTTGTTGTAAATGATAACAGAATGCATGACCGTCACCTTGTTGATGTATCCGAACTGGAAAACTCTGAATTTGAACCCGAACCTGTAGTGGGATAAAGGGTACCCGACAAGAGTCTTCTCCTCAGCTGTCCTGAAACAAACAGTGCTGAGGCTGTATACAGTATGCAGGTTGCAGAGGTTGTATAGAAGTTACAGGTTACAGAACTGTACCGAAACACACAATACCCAATTGCTGCCAATGGCTGCCGATAACCCATTAGAATTGTAGAAGTTCGATATCAGAACAACATCATATCAAACATGATGAAATACATTTCTGAACACACAAAATTAAGTAAACCACACACAAACCACAGTTATCGGTCCTGTTTATGCATTTGAATCCTCCCGCTGAAACGCTGAGTTCCAATTTAAAATAGGAGGTGTCTAGGTTAAATTTCAAATTACGGTTGCTTTATCTCCCAGTTGTACCCTTAATCATGTCAGTAACTGCTTTGTCTGGTCCCGACTTTTTAATTCACAGTAAATGATAACATACGACCCGTGAAGATGCAAGGGGCAACTAACGGGATCGGGTGGTCAGGCTCGCTGACTTGGTTGATGCATGTCATTGCATCCACCCGTATCGTGTTGCATGGGTCGATGCTCATGATCTCAGTCACTGGATTGTGTGGTCAAGACTCCATTTTTTGCAGACCGCCGGCATATAGCTGGAATGTTGCTGAGTGCGGCGTTAAACAACAAACGAACACAAAAAAACAGTATTTCAAATACGATGTGTGTGTTTGTGTGTGTGTGGGGGTGGTGGTGGGGGGGGGGGGGGGGGGGGGGGGAGGTGTATGCGCTTAGGATTTGTACAATACGGTACACTTGCTCTGTCAGCTCTTCAATTTGGGGTCCAAAAACTTTGAATCAATCTGAACATCTAGTATGTCTAATGGACGAATGTATGTGTTTGAATCATAATCGAGAAAAGATGATTAAAACAAAACCGACCCGACCCCACACTCCGACACACCCCAGCGCACCCTGAATATCGTAAAATTGATAAGAACAGTTATACTTCACGACACGTACTTGTTTCTCATCAGATAGACTGAGTGGGTAGGGGGGTTGTCCGGTTCTGGAGTCACCCAACAATCCGGTACCACCACTTTCAGATCGTTGTTGTTGGTGATTAGGTCCACGGTCACGTTCAAACAGTCGTTGATGTGGAGACTAACTGTACCGGTATACCGCTCGAAGAAATGGTCTGACTTCCACAAAAACATCTTGAAATGAAACACTCCACTGCCAATAACACTAATGGACTGCGTGACAATTTCAACGCCTATGTTAACCTCATGTTCTCTTTTGAAGGCACACGTGGCGTCCACGACATATGCGCCTCCACGTGTTATGCCACTGCTGTCAGTGACTGCATTGTGAACCAGCTTAGTCTCGTAGAACAGATGAGTCGAATTTCCCTGAAAGTAATTATTTTTGTCAGTAGACGTTACCTAATTGGTCTGTACATGTTTTTTAATTTATGTTTGAACTCCGCACTCGGCAATATTCCAGCAATATGACGGTGTTAGAAAATAGGAGAGTCTAGACAGATTCCGGTTGGTGTTTTACTAGATATATTTTTAATCTCCAAAAGCAGATGTATATATATATTTAAACATCCAAGTCTAACATTTGTTTTTACAAATATACAACAATGTAATTTTTATGGCATACAATATCTCTTTATTCAGCATACTGAACTGTTATTATTTTTACAAGGTTTTTATGGAAAAATGTATCTTTGTCAATGAGGGTTTTAATACATCTGACGACGTCTTGACGTGCTTTGAAGTAATAGGTTTAAAGATGAATGTAATTTCCGCAATATTGAAACAGCACGTTTTGAAGGGGAATGCAAAGGGATAAACTGCCTCTACCAGCGTTAAGTTGACACAGAACGTAAGAGAGGGCCACCTACCTTAGTCTTGACACCACATGTATCTAAAGCGATGAGAGCCGACACAACTTGATCTCCAGACCCAAAGTCGTGGCTGTAAGTGTCGATAGGGCATCCGTGAGTCATGAGAGAGATGTCGGCCGGAGTGAGGTCCTTGTCATGCACCTTGCTAAACTCCACTCTCATATACGTGTCGTTGCACGAGATGCTCGGAGCATCAGCTGCGAAAACAATATCGCACTAATGCAACCACAAGTTCCCTTTCAGAGGTCGTATAAAAGCATACAAATAAGGTACATGTACACACATGTATCACACTCCCTTTTTGTCTTGTTCATCGGCACTACACATAGAAAGCTGTTTACTCTTTACTTTACCTTGTTAGTCACATTAGGACTCACAGTGATCCGGTAGTAACAGCATTACAGGGGTACATATGCTCACGTTCTGACAAACAGTGTTCAGGACGACAAGGGTGCATCCACTCACGTTCGGACACATAATGATCAGGACGACAGGGGTACATCCACTCACGTTCTGACAAACAGTGTTCAGGACGACAAGGGTGCATCCATTCACGTTCAGACACACACTGTTCAGGATGACAGGGGTGCATCCATTCACGTTCAGACTCACAGTGTTCAGGATGACAGGGGTGCATCCATTCACGTTCAGACACACAATTATCAGGACGACAAGGGTGCATCCACTCACGTTCAGACACACACTGTTCAGGATGACAGGGGTGCATCCACTCACGTTCAGACTCACAATTATCAGGACGACAGGGGTACATCCACTCACGTTCAGACTCACAATTATCAGGACGACAAGGGTGCATCCACTCACGTTCAGACACACACTGTTCAGGATGACAGGGGTGCATCCACTCACGTTCAGACACACAATGTTCAGGATGACAGGGGTACATCCAATCACGTTCAGACACACAATGTTCAGGATGACAAGGGTTCATATACTCACGTTCAGACACACAATGTTCAGGATGACAGGGGTACATCCAATCACGTTCAGACACACAATGTTCAGGACGACAGGGGTACATATACTCACGTTCAGACACACAATGTTCAGGATGGCAGGGGTACATATACTCACGTTCAGACACACAATGTTCAGGATGACAGGGGTACATATACTCACGTTCAGAAACACAATGTTCAGGATGACAGGGGTACATATACATACGTTCAGGCACACAATGTTCAGGGTGGCAGGGGTACATATACTCACGTTCAGGCACACAATGTTCAGGATGGCAGTGGTACATATACTCACGTTCAGAAACACAATGTTCAGGATGACAGGGGTACATATACTCACGTTCAGAAACACAATGTTCAGGATGACAGGGGTACATATACTCACGTTCAGAAACACAATGTTCAGGATGGCAGTGGTACATATACTCACGTTCAGAAACACAATGTTCAGGATGACAGGGGTACATATACTCACGTTCAGAAACACAATGTTCAGGATGACAGGGGTACATATACTCACGTTCAGGCACACAATGTTCAGGATGACAGGGGTACATATACTCACGTTCAGAAACACAATGTTCAGGATGGCAGGGGTACATATACTCACGTTCAGGCACACAGTGTTCAGGGTGGCAGGGGTACATATACTCACGTTCAGAAACACAATGTTCAGGATGGCAGTGGTACATATACTCACGTTCAGAAACACAATGTTCAGGATGACAGGGGTACATATACTCACGTTCAGAAACACAATGTTCAGGATGACAGGGGTACATATACTCACGTTCAGGCACACAATGTTCAGGATGACAGGGGTACATATACTCACGTTCAGGCACACAGTGTTCAGGGTGGCAGGGGTACATATACTCACGTTCAGAAACACAATGTTCAGGATGACAGGGGTACATATACTCACGTTCAGGCACACAATGTTCAGGATGACAGGGGTACATATACTCACGTTCAGAAACACAATGTTCAGGATGGCAGGGGTACATATACTCACGTTCAGGCACACAGTGTTCAGGGTGGCAGGGGTACATATACTCACGTTCAGAAACACAATGTTCAGGATGGCAGGGGTACATATACTCACGTTCAGGCACACAGTGTTCAGGGTGGCAGGGGTACATATACTCACGTTCAGGCACACAATGTTCAGGATGGCAGTGGTACATATACTCACGTTCAGAAACACAATGTTCAGGATGGCAGGGGTACATATACTCACGTTCAGGCACACAATGTTCAGGATGGCAGGGGTACATATACTCACGTTCAGGCACACAATGTTCAGGATGGCAGTGGTACATATACTCACGTTCAGCCACACAATGTTCAGGATGACAGGGGTACATATACTCACGTTCAGAAACACAATGTTCAGGATGGCAGTGGTACATATACTCACGTTCAGGCACACAATGTTCAGGATGGCAGTGGTACATATACTCACGTTCAGGCACACAATGTTCAGGATGGCAGTGGTACATATACTCACGTTCTGGCACACAATGTTCAGGATGACAGGGGTACATATACTCACGTTCAGAAACACAATGTTCAGGATGACAGGGGTAAATATACTCACGTTCAGCCACACAATGTTCAGGATGACAGGGGTTGTCCTCCAGACAGGTCATGTACACAGCGTCAGTGCAGCCAGCGACGTCTCCCCAGGGAGAGTGTTGGCACCCAGTCAGAAGGTTAGTCTCTCCACCGTGGCAGTAGGGGTTGAACATCACCTTGAAGCGTGCCAGCAGGGTGATGTTTTGTATCATCATCGGGGTGGCGTATGTGTCACTGTAACAAGTGTAATGTGGTCATTACGTTGCCTCCCCCCGAGAAATATCAGACCTATGAGCAGACACATGGTGCTTAGGCATAATTAGGCTTAAATGCTACACTGATACCACAAGTTGCCTCTTCCAGAGCAATATCAGACCTATGAGCAGACACATGGTACTTAGGCATAGTGAGTCTTATAGGCTACACTCATTAACATTTTTTGCCAACTAATAAGAACTGATAGATCCAATTAAATATAATAATTAATGTTAAGCGCAATATTGTGTTTTATCATCCAAAACTGGCTCCCACAGGAGATATCGCTTGGATGAGATCAAGCGATATCTACACTGTAGATATCGCTGCTATGAAATAACATCACAATGCTTTGCAGACCATTGTGACGTCACTGGTTACCATGACGTCACAATCAAATGACATCACTAATGGCTCTGCTACTGAAGCTGTTAGCAGTACCTTTTTCACTAAAGACACTGCTAATTACTGTCTACAAATTGAAAAAGTTGGAAGATTGATGTTGGATGATAAATAAAATCTCACCCTCGTGTCTTTTGATATCAAATATATCAACACTCGTAGATAAAAGTGGCAAAAATCCTCGGCAAGCCTCGGAAATTTCCCTGTGTTGATATATTTGATATCAAAAGACACTCGGGTGAGATTCTCTATGTATTATTTTCAAAGTACAGATGTCAGGAACTGTTTCTTCAATTACAAGTTCATGCTCCTGATGTGGTCGGATTGGTACAGTGGACTTTTTGACAGAGATTTCTTCTGATGATGGAAATGGTTTCGTCGCATCTGTTTGTATCCAGTGTGAGTGACTGAGGTCTACGCTGTTTTAGCACCATTCCAGCTGTATAATGTTGGGAAGCAAACTCAGATATTCGGTACTAACCCCTTAACCGGAAGGCTTTCCCACCGCCCAGGATCTGTGTGAACAGACAGCTGCTCATTCTGTTTAAAAAGCAGTATGTTCCATATTTGGAAAGTAACATCCTCCTGAGGACCGTGATCAATTAATATCATGTAATTTGTCTCTTATCTCTAAAAAAATAGTTTACGCTTTGTTTGAATTTAGTGGCTGTATTTATGAAAACTAGCAGATATAAAGTTGTGGAACACATTGAAACTGATTAAAACTGCTTCTATTCTATTCTATGATTGTAATAATAGGGTCTGGTCAGATGATTCTATAAACCTGGACCAGATAATTCAGTGACTGACATCATGAGCACCAGTCTTCTCCAGGGTGATTAGTGCAAGGGAGACAGGCAAAGTGTACTTGGAACACAGTCTTCTCCAGGGTGATTGGTGCAAGGGAGACAGGTATAGTGTACTTGGAACACAGTCTTCTCCATGGTGATTGGTGCAAGAGAGACAGGCATAGTGTACTTGAAACACAGTCTTCTCCAGGGTGATTGGTGCAAGGGAGACAGGCATAGTGTACTTATGACACAGTCTTCTCCAGGGTGATTGGTGCAAGGGAGACAGGCATAGTGTACTTATGACACAGTCTTCTCCAGGGTGATTGGTGCAAGGGAGACAGGTATAGTGTACTTGAAACACAGTCTTCTCCAGGGTGATTGGTGCAAGGGAGACAGGTATAGTGCACTTGGATCACAGTCTTCTCCAGGGTGATTGGTGCAAGGGAGACAGGCATAGTGTACTTATGACACAGTCTTCTCCAGGGTGATTGGTGCAAGGGAGACAGGCATAGTGTACTTATGACACAGTCTTCTCCAGGGTGATTGGTGCAAGGGAGACAGGCATAGTGTACTTATGACACAGTCTTCTCCAGGGTGATTGGTGCAAGGGAGACAGGTATAGTGTACTTGAAACACAGTCTTCTCCAGGGTGATTGGTGCAAGGGAGACAGGTATAGTGTACTTGAAACACAGTCTTCTCCAGGGTGATTGGTGCAAGGGAGACAGGCATAGTGTACTTGAAACACAGTCTTCTCCAGGGTGATTGGTGCAAGGGAGACAGGTATAGTGTACTTGAAACACAGTCTTCTCCAGGGTGATTGGTGCAAGGGAGACAGGTATAGTGCACTTGGATCACAGTCTTCTCCAGGGTGATTGGTGCAAGGGAGACAGGCATAGTGTACTTATGACACAGTCTTCTCCAGGGTGATTGGTGCAAGGGAGACAGGCATAGTGTACTTATGACACAGTCTTCTCCAGGGTGATTGGTGCAAGGGAGACAGGCATAGTGTACTTATGACACAGTCTTCTCCAGGGTGATTGGTTCAAGGGAGACAGGTATAGTGTACTTGAAACACAGTCTTCTCCAGGGTGATTGGTGCAAGGGAGACAGGTATAGTGCACTTGGATCACAGTCTTCTCCAGGGTGATTGGTGCAAGGGAGACAGGCATAGTGTACTTATGACACAGTCTTCTCCAGGGTGATTGGTGCAAGGGAGTCAAGCAAAGTGTACTTGAAACATAGTCTTCTCCAGGGTGATTGGTGCAAGGGAGTCAAGCAAAGTGTACTTGAAACATAGTCTTCTCCAGGGTGATTGGTGCAAGGGAGTCAAGCAAAGTGTACTTGAAACATAGTCTTCTCCAGGGTGATTGGTGCAAGGGAGTCAAGCAAAGTGTACTTGAAACATAGTCTTCTCCAGGGTGATTGGTGCAAGGGGGGAGGCACAGTGTACTTGAAACACAGTCTTCTCCAGGGTGATTGGTGCAAGGGAAACAGGCATAGTGTACTTGGAACACAGTCTTCTCCAGGGTGATTGGTGCAAGGGAAACAGGCATAGTGTACTTATGACACAGTCTTCTCCAGGGTGATTGGTTCAAGGGAGACAGGTATAGTGTACTTGGATCACAGTCGTCGCCACGGTGATTGGTGAAAGGGAGACAAGCATAGTGTACTTGGATCATAGTCTTATCTTGAGTGATTGGTGCAAGGGAGACAAGCATAGTATACTTGAATCACAGTCTTTTCCAGGGTGATTGGTGCAAGGGAGACAGGCAAAGTGTACTTGGATCACAGTCTTATCTGAGTGATTAGTGCAAGGGAGACAGGCATAGTGTACTTTAAACACAGTCTTATCTGAGTGATTGGTGCAAGGGAGACAGGCATAGTATACATGGATCACAGTCTTCCCCAGGGTGATTGGTTCAAGGGAGACAAGCATAGTATACTTTGATCCCATTCTTCTCCAAGGTGATTGGTTCAAGGGAGATAAGCTAAGTGTACTAGAACTGACATATGTAAGGGAGACAAACATAAGGCACAGGGAACACAGTTTTCTGCAGATTGACAAGGGAGAGGGAGTTCATCACTTACTCGAAACACACCATCCTGCACACGACCTTCGCTGTCGCAACGTCAAAGTTATCAGCACAGACAGACCCCCATGAATTTGTGGCGAGGTCCTTCACCTCCAGGAGTCCGAGACCTCCCGGTCCACCATCATTGTACAGACGAACATTAGGGTCTGGAACTGTGGAGATAACAGTTTCTACACTGAAATGCATAAAATACAGAGTTGCTGAGAACCAAGTGGTTGCGTTTGTTGCTTCACGCCACACTCAGTAATATTCCGGCTGTATGTGCCTGTGGTCTGTAAATAATCGAGTCGGGACCAGGCATTCCGGTGTTTAACATTATGAGCATCGAGAGAGGCAATTTGGATGATGACCTGTGTCAGCGAGCCTGACCACTCGATCCCGTGATGGACGATTCTAATCCAGTTCGCCCCGATTATGTGTTTCTAGGTTTGTCAGCACCATACCCGTGCTCGTAGGTTTCATCGAAGTAGTGGGGGCACGGGTGGCCCAGTCGTCTAAGGCGCCGCAATACGCTGTGCAGAGTTGCGTCCCTTAGGCACGGCAGAAACCTATGATTGTGGGTTCGAATCCCGGTTCGCCCCGATTATGTTTCTAGGTTTGTCAGCACCATACCTGTGCTCGTGGGTTTCACCGAAGTGGTAAACGTCTGACACCTGCATCACTCCGGGCTTTCCTCCCACATTAAGCTGACACGCCGCGATATAACTGGAATACTGTTAAAAGCGGCGTTAAAACCCAACTCACTTACTCACCGTGTGGCGGCGATATACTTACTGGTACAACGCTGCTGGGCAGACACACCACCTGGAACAGAGAAGAAGAGAACAATCATTATGTCTGTCCTGTTGCTTACCCAAATAACTACACAAATGTTCCTATAGCTAGATACAGTAAACTACGGTTATAACGAACTCAAGGGGACTAGTATTTTTATAAGCATATATACAGCATAACTACAGCAAATAGTCGGGACTACAAAGTAAGTTCGTTATATCCGTCAGTTCGTTATAAGCGTGTTCGTTGTAATCGGAGTTTACTGTACTCACAAATATTCCGTTAAAACACAGTGCAGTCCGTTGGCAACCTGGAGGTCGAATATTGTTCCGCGATAATTCTACTCTCGTGGTTTGGTAATGTCGCAACGTCGCACGGTGGTACCGCGACCTGTCACGTTTAAGTTAATAGGTGAGGTGAGGTGAGGTGAAATGAGGTCGTCGCGTCAAGATTACTGCACTTATATAGCGACGTGCATGTACGTGTGTGTGTTTGTGTGGCTGCTTGTACTAGTCCGGACTGATTTATAGTGCTAGCTCACTGAGATACCATGCCGCAGTTTAACATGAATACCCCACTCAGACACAGTATACTGACTCCGAGCCGACCAGTCCTTGTTTTAGCTCCTTAATGCCGAGCGCCAGACAGTGTAACAACAAGTACCATCTTTTAACGTCTTTTGGTATGACGCGGTCGGGGATCGAACCCCGGACCTTCCGCTCTCCGGGCGGACGCTCTACCACTAGACCACGGAGGCGGTCTTTAAGTTAATAGTTATAAAAATAACAGTAGTAATAACAATAGTAGTAGTAGCAGTAGCAACAGCAGTAGTATTATTAGTAAAAGTAGCAGTGGCAGTAGTAGTGTTGATATATTTCATATAGGAAAAAACAAGGGTGAGATTCTATTTATCATCCAACATCATTCTTCCCACTTTTCAGTTTGCAGATAGTAATAAGCAGTTAAAAAGTACTGCTAACAGCTTCAGTAGCAGTGATGTCATTTGATTGTGACGTCATGGTAACAATGACGTCACAATGGTCTGCAAAGCATTGTGATGCAATTGCATTGCAGCAGCATCTACACTGTATATATCACTTGATTTCACCCAAGTGATCTCTCCTTTGGGAGCCAGTTTTGAGTGATAAAATGCATTATTTAATTTCAAAATACATTTTCTTATTGAACGTTCGATGAAGCACAGTTACTTTTTCCGATCCTAAATTTATAGTTTGTACTGCATTGGGAATGTGGTGCCCTAAAATCTTGGCTTAATATAAACACAAAACTAATAAACTATAACCCATAAGCTAGAGGCTTTGGTCTAGGTCTTGCAACATTAGACAGCATAGGGGATCAAGATGAATGCAGGTAGCTATTCGTGAGGCCTGCTGTCACCTGATTTGATAAAGTCAAAATGGTTCATGATACATGTTTCCTGTGGGGACACACGTGAAGATCAGAGGAAGAATAGGTCTTCAGAAACCCATGCTTGCCGTAAAAAGCGACTATGCTTGTCGTAAAAGGCGACTAACGGGATCGGGTGGTCAGGCTAGCTGACCTGGTTGATGCTTGTCAACGCATCCCCATGCGTCGATCGATGGTCACTGGATTATCTGGTTCAGACTCGATTATGTACCGACCGCCGTAATATAGCTAGCTGGAATATTGTTGATTAGTGGGGAAACAGTGTGTGTGTTGGGGGGGGGGGGGGGGGGGGGGGGGGGGATGTACACGCCAAGCTGCACGTCACGCTGAAGCTTGCCTCCCTCTCCTCACCGCTAGGGGTCATTTGGATATTAGGTTGTTGTCACGGACTTTGTACCCGGGCATTCCTTGTGAGACAAACTGAAATCTGTATTTGTTCAACTTCTGATTTATTGTGACAGTGTACATGTGGGCTATGAGCAGGTCCACATGCCACATCACCGGTCCGCTTCGATCTGTTGCAGCCACTGCTGTGTCCGCGTCATTATGTTGTACTCAAGGTTCTGTCCACGTCATTCTGTTGTACCCTCGGCTCTGTCAACGTCATTCTGTTGTACCCTCGGCTCTGTCTACGTCATTCTGTTGTACCCTCGGCTCTGTCCTGGTCATCTTCTTGTACCCTCGGCTCTGTCCACGTCATTCTGTTGTACCCTCGGCTCTGTCCACGTCATTCTGTTGTACCCTCGGCTTTGTACCCTCGGCTCTGTCCACGTCATTCTGTTGTACCCTCGGCTCTGTCCACGTCATTCTGTTGTACCCTCGGCTCTGTCCTGGTCATCTTCTTGTACCCTCGGCTCTGTCCACGTCATTCTGTTGTACCCTCGGCTCTGTCCACGTCATTCTGTTGTACCCCCGGCTCTGTCCACGTCATTCTGTTGTACCCTCGGCTCTGTCCACGTCATTCTGTTGTACCCTCGGCTCTGTCCTGGTCATCTTCTTGTACCCTAGGGCTCTGTCTACGTCATTCTGTTGTACCCTCGGCTCTGTCTATGTCATTCTGTTGTTCCCTCGGCTCTGTCTATGTCATTCTGTTGTACCCTCGGCTCTGTCTACGTCATTCTGTTGTACCCTAGGGCTCTGTCTACGTCAGACAGAGCCCTAGGGTACAACAGAATGACGTAGACAGAGCCGAGGGTACAACAGAATGACATAGACAGAGCCGAGGGAACAACAG